AGATGTTTCACAGATAGGACCATGATTGTTCACATACCTTCATCGAATCATTGGCTGATTCAATGAAAAGCCGTTATTGGAAGAAAAAAAAAAAAAGTTCCAGCATCGGCCAGTGACTGCCAGTTTCTATCCTGTCAGTAAATGCATAATACAAGATGGAAAAACTAATTGCATTCAGAATCATTATTGTCTCTTCATGTTCAGATGAACACTATTATTATTCCCCGTGATGTCACTCTCCATTTTCCCCCTGCAGTCTGTTTTTGGTTAAATGGATCTCAAGGTAATCAAGCAAGCTAAAATTCTGCAGAATTATTTTTATTAATTCACATTTAAAGTGTTGTTTTCTTCTTTCTGTTTGACTCTGAGTACATCGCTTTTGTCAGAAACTCAGCTGCTTACACATGGCTTACTTTCTTTAGTCCTTGTAGCCCTCGCGATCATTTTTTCAATCCGTGAATTGTGGGAAATGACCAATTTGGGATGGGTCAAACCAAAAAATGATGCAAAATAGGTATGCTAAGCATTAAAGATGCTTTAAACAGCTATTTTGCAACTAAAACTGATCTCAGAACCCAAAGGGGCTGCAAACATTCAGCTCATGCCTCTCTAGACACACTACAATCTACAAACTGCATCCCCCTCTCCCCCAGCAGAAACATATTTTCAATACTCAGCATAAAACATGTTTTAACCTATACCAATCTTATTATCAGCAAAGAATGGGTAGGACAATGGAAGGTTACCCCTCAAAAAGATTGTTTAATCCTGACCTGGGCTTCAAAATCTGATTTGATATAAAAAAAATGCTCTGAATTTCTTTTCAGAGTTATATAATAGCCATTTTCCATTTGTGTATGGTCAAAGGAAAAAAAATGGCCATGTTCAGAATAAAGACCACATTTCTCCTAACCCCATTTCATTATTTTTATAAATTAATTCCTTTGTACGTTCATTTGTATCCTATTTATCCTTTTCAGTTTATTTTGCATTATTAATTCAATATAAAATCAAACAAAGATAAGCAATATACAGTACAAATTATCGAGAAAGAAAAAGAAACCAACTAAAACAAGAAATAACATATAGGACATATTTGCACAGATACATTCTCTCTCGCACACACATACACACACACACACACTTCAAAAAATGATAGCAATATTTCATTATAACCATCCACAGCTAATCTATGTCAATTCAGTATATCATTTGTTCATAAGTTGCTAACATCAGCTCAGTATAGATGCTACTCAATGGTATGCAAAGATGAAGTTATCTCAGATTATTCAATTTCCTCATTTAAGAACGATGTGCAGTTTAAAGGTTCTCTTGGACTCTCAGTTCCTACTGGAAGAAGAGATGGCAGCTATGATCAAGACGGCCTTTGCATGGATCTGTCTAGTGTGTCAACTGTGCCCCTTCAGGAATAGCTGGCCATTTGACTGTTCATGCCCTATTCATCTTAAGAAGGGACTGCTGCAGTACATTCTACAAGTCAAGATGTCTTTATATAACTTAAAATCAATTCACAGTTTCAAGTCTTTTAGTGCAGAGTAGGGGAGACACCAACTGGGCAAAATGATACAAAAGCTCAGTAAACAATGCTCACAGCCATTCATGTGGGCTGCAGAATGGATTTAACATATCCAGCCTCAAAATGGCTTACAGTCTTAGAAGGATGGCTCCTCTTTATAGACGATTACTGTCTGTGCCATAAATATCATTATCTGTTTCTATTCTGCATCAATTTGACCTGCATTTTTCTTTTATTTATATTTTGGATTTCATTTGATTTGCATTTTATTCTTCATGCTGTATTTTGTACTTAATTATTAATTTGCTCCAGCTCGAGTCGTTATAAATTATTAATTTGTTGCTAATTCTAAAGGAAACTTTTTGATTCTTTGATTTGCTTGTGTTACATGTATCAATGAAAATTTGTTTACCTGGAAAAGACTGTAGAGCGTAGGATACTTGGATTTAATTCCCCAAAATTCATTTTCAGCCATTGTTTAACGTTCCTTTGGTGTAAATGTTGTAGAGAGATCTTAAATCTGAATGCCCTCCTGACAGGTGAGGTAACACATAGGCCTCGGATGACCCAATTATCATCTATCATATAATTGGCAAACACTATCTATACTTGAGTTGAAAGATAGGAAACCTAGTTAAAAGTACACAAAAAAAATTGCCTTACTTCAGACAGTAGGCAAGAATACATGGATGTCTATGGAGATTCTCAATCATCCAGATCATGGTTGTCCCAAAGGTGCTTTTCCAAAAGGCAACAAAACTGAAGAAACTTCCTGGAGGAGAAGTGAAATGTTTTCAAAGAAAGGAAAAAAGAACCCCAAGAAAGTCCAGTTGCCTTTTGGAAAAATCAACTTTGGAAGAATACACGGCATTACATATTTTTATACATAACATCCTATGGTACAAAATGCTACACAATCAAGCAGATATTTTTAAACAATTTTCTATGGACTCATGTATTCTTCCATTATTCCTGTTCATTCAAACATTCCCACTTTTCTTCTTTTTTTAAAAATTTTGGCATTCATAATATTACAGGGTTGGATTCATTACAGTCCAAAAGGTACTTTTTCAAAAAGCAACTGGACTTTGTTGTTTTTTTTCCTTGAAGATGTTTCACTTCTCATCCAAGAAGCTTCTTCAGTTCTGACTAAAGAACTGAAGCTTCTTGGATGAGAAACTTCTTGGATGAGAAGCGAAATATCTTCAAGGAAAAATAACGTCCAGTTGCCTTTTGAAAAAGCACCTTTGGGACAACCATGACCTGGATGACTGAGACTCTCTATAGAGCAGTGGTTCTCAACCTGTGGGTCGGGACCCCATTTGGGGTCGATCGACCATTTCATGGGGGTCGCCAAGCAAGGCTGTCCACCATTTTTTTTGTCCGCCATTTTTTTCCCCTTTTCCGGCGGGTGCCTTACCTCCCTTGGGCTGGGCCAGCTGGTGGTCGGCCTGCTCCGTCTCTGCCGCTTGCCAGCTACGCCTCGGCCGGTGCAGGGGGCAGAACCACGCATGCGCGGCGCTCCCGGGCAGGGAAAGTCCTCGACTTACGACCGGTTGGGTAGTCCTCGACTTACGACCGGTTTAGTCCTTGACTTATGACTGGTTTAGTCCTCGACTTACGACCGGTTGGGGTCACGGCATTAAAAAGGTTGAGAACCACTGCTATAGAGATTCATTACAGTGTTATATGTTCACCAGCAAAGTTAGTCCACATTACAGTTTGCAAATTGATCTCGAATTATGGTTGCAAATTGAATTATTTTATTATATTTCTACATCTTGTGTAACAAGGAATAATTCAGGGCAGTTATCTTTTATAAAATACCAGTGAACCTCATGTAAAATTAACTTAGAGCAGATCAGAGCAGAAACAAAGAATACCAGCCACAGAGGTAATAGGATATGTCCAATAAGCAAAATAACCTGGAAGCATCACAAAGCAGAAATCTTTCTTGAAAACACAGAGATAACACTATATAAAACACAAAATGATAAACATATCTAATGGATTTTTTAAAAATCACACACAAATAAAAATAATATAGTAATACGACTAGGAACTGACTTACAGATGTACTGACTCACAAATGTACTTCCATAATACTAGAAGCAACAATCTTTTGATCTAATAAGAAAGCACTGGATATGAGCAGAGAATTACAACTGCAGTTGCCTGAGCTTCAGAGATGTTCAAAGAAAATAGCAGGAGTTTTGCTCTAAACTCCAGGTATCTCCAAAAAGTATGCAGGTAGGAACTCTTTGTCTAAACATGCCTAGCCATTTAATTTAAAAATTACACAGTATTAAAAGGAATTACTCAGGAAGAACTTTGACAAAAGAATCGTCTGTATTAATAGCCTCTGTGAGGTTAAATGACCAAACCATTTGTTATCTAAGACAACAATTAACTAATCAATAAGTAATGATTCTTATTTTAGTATCAAATAAGCATATTTTAAAAGTCATATATTATATTAAGATATCAAACTTTTCTATCTCCAATTGAAAAAAAAGCTAGAACTCACAGCCTTTCTTTTTGCTTATGTTTTCTATTAGAAATTCAGTAAAATCCTCAACTATTTCTCTTTTTAAATAATCCCTCAATTAATATCACAATAAGATTGGCTGGAATGTTTTCATTATGCTTACTTTCTAATAAGTAAACATAAAGGTTAGTAACATCCAAACATGAACACCACAGAATTCTTCAGATGTTCATCCCACATATCTGCATACAAGAAGATTGGATTGGGAATTATACTGTAGAATATAACTACATATAGATTTTCCAGGGACTTATATATAATTCACACAAATAGAAAAACACACATAGATCATTTCTGCAGAAAGGTAGCAATCCTGAACACGTGAGCCACAGAGTTGGCTTCAACCAAGGAGAGAACTAATTCGAGATTGTGATTTCCCTGATCATGACAATATGGGATGCTGCAGAGGACTCTCATTATGCAACTGGCCTGCCACTAGAAAAGTTTTGCAGATGCATAGAATGTGAACAAGGAGCAGAAGTAGTGCATTGATAGGGAACTCCTATAGGAAAGTAGACTTCTTTATAAAGCTTTCTAAATGACCATGGGCAAACCCTTATCTCTCACCCTCTATTCAGAAAATATAAAGTATCTGGACTTAAAAAAAAAAAGACTTAGGTTACAATCCTGCATAGAGTTTAGCTGGATAATTTCCTTTGCCTTTATTGGAAATAGGCCAGCTGTGCAGAAGATAGCAATCTCCGATGGCCAAAGCACAGCATATTGTCATCTAGGAAGCAGCATCATATTGAACTGTGCTAAGTGTAAATCTGCTAAATGATCCTCTTTCTGCTCCTTCTGTGTGTTACCTCCTGTAGACCTCAGCCCATAGCCCTTGGAACAGTAAGTCCCATAAACAAGACCACTTCAAAGGAGGAGAGAAAAAAAAACCACCCTGCAACTGTGTTTACTTACCTAGCAGAGAACCTATTAAGATGACAACCTGCATAACGGTAGTAAAATGTCGATATGTTTGTTCTCCTTCCCTATATGCCTCGTATTCTGACGTCCCGACCGCGTGGGCGCTTCGGTTGATTCCCACGATTTGAGGAGCACCGGATGCGTTCAAGCTTTTGACAGCCTGAAAGGGACCGCGCTCGCTCGCGTTGGCTGAAGCCCAGCTTGCATTGTAGCCCATGGCGGGGTGGGTGTCTTGCTGCCTCCCTCTTACTTAACAGTCACCTCCGCACGAAGCCAGCACCCTTCGCCGCACAAAGCACGCAGTTCGCACCTGCTTTTCTAAGCGGAGCCGTTTCCATTGTGTTTCCACTAAATGTCTGGACCCCGGAGAAGCCGTCTGACGTTTCAGGTCTGCATCTCATTCCAAAGAGGGGCAACACATCATGGCAAAATGGGGGCGGGGGCGGGGGGAAAGCTGACTGCATCTGGTACTCCGTTGTCCCATATTTCTTGCTTTCCCCCCCTCCTCCCTCGCTCCAATGCCACTGCGCGCCCGTCCCCTTTCAGCGCGTTTGCACAGCCAAAACCACAAACAAAGCCTAGATAGGACCCGCGCCGCCTGCTCATTTCCCTCTAGTAGGCGCAACCAGCGTGCCTCCAAGTGGGACAGTTGACAACCCTTTTTCGTGGTGTTGTTTCTGGCATGGGTGAAGCTGAAGACCGAAGCTCGCACATCTTGGCGAGGCAATGCCTTTCTCCCCTGTCCTTTTTCCTAACACAGATGCCGTTTCAAGTCTTCTGCGAGCCTCGGGGGGTTTCCGATCAGCAAGGCTTTTTAAATTATGCTTGATGTATGCTTCTCCGGCAATCGCATTTGAAGAGCTGGACGCTTCTGCCCCTCACTTTACAGATTGGCATCAGCAACTGTTCAAAGGTTTTTTGACTGCAGGTAGCTTTTCTGTTTTCCTAGAAAGAAAGTACGAATCACATGGCACGTGACCCTCAGCGGGTGGGCTCTGGTTTTTGTTTTTTTAATTTTTGGGGGGAGGTGGCAGCCATTTTGCCTTTTGGACTGTCAATTTAAGGTCTGAATAAAACCGCTTTGGGGAAGTGGAAAGCTATTGTACTGCAGAAAGGGGCTGCATTTACGTATACTAGAGGAGATACAAGTTCAACCGACTGAAGTTTTAATCGACAAAGAACTTTCCAATTTAGCAAGCCTTGCAATAATTTAATATTTTGTTTTGACCTCCCATTTGTCATACACACATAAAATACCTCTCTTAAAATCATTTTGTCTATTAAGTTGTTTATTTATTAAATGTAGGCACCACCGATTCTCAATGAATATCCAAACATTTGCAAATTTCTTTTAAAATTTATATGCAAAATATCAATAAAGGCCAAACTGGCGCTAGATTTTGCCAACATTGCACCCATCGCCACCATACCTGAGTCCATCCATCTTGCTACAGGTCATCCTCTTCTTCTCATTCCATCCACCTTTTTCAGCATTGTAGACTTTTTCAGAGAATTAGGTATTCACATATTATGTCCAAAATAGGATAATTTGTGCCTGGTCATTTATGCTCAAATTTGTTTGACAATCCATCTGTTTGTTTTCTTGCTGTCCATGATGGACTCAGGAGGCTTCTTCAACACTAAAATTCAAAGGTGTCAATATGTTTCCTCTCCTGCTCCCTCAGAGTCCAACTTTCACTTTCCCAAAATGTCACAGCTGGCTTGCACAATTCTGATCTTTGTAGGTGTAGACAAATCGGAATATTTTTCTCAAGTCCTTTGATGTTAGTCAAGCAAATATTAGGCTGTGGTAGGGTTTTTTTTTATTGCTTGTTCCTTTACTGTTGATGGTTGACAGTTATCTACAGCTATCTACCACTTCTTCATTGACCACTCCAAAGTTGGTTGTTATGCCTGGCTTTCTTCTTGTTCTATAGTTTAAGTTTAATTCTGCACTTCTTCCATAATTCCCTTATTTTAGTTTCATCCCAAATTTATTTATTTATTTATTTATTTATTAATTACATTTATATCCCGCCCTTCTCCTTGCGGACTCAGGGCGGCTGACAATTGAATAAAATACTAACATATTATACACCTAATTAAAATTTGATTAAAAAGAAATATTTAAATTTGTCAGATTAAAAGTAATTAAAACCCCTTTAAAATCCCTTAGGCCAGTCCCGCAAGCTGGAACAACCAAATCATTTTAGGACCTTAATTTTCACTTTAATTCACTATCCTGGAGGATCCTTGTTGCCTTCTTCATCTATTTCCAAAACAATTGGCATTTAGAAAGTCTGTCAGTACACTGAGTGAAGCATTGAATTGGTGGGATCTGGGCAACAATATATCAGCTTGCAATATAGTCTTTTAATAAAGATGCTAGCTTGCATGAATGAGCCTGAGTTGCACTCATTGATACTGGCCAAATATTCAGATAATGTAATAGCAAACCAATTAATACAAGTAACATCAGGTTGTATACATAATTGCACAAATCACATACATTTCATCAATTGTCAACAGTTCTTTTTTTTTTTTTTTAATTTTATTGACAAAACAATTAAAACAAAAAGGGACATGACATGACGTTCCAGTATACATAATCCTAGTAATTCGTTCCTTATCATATTTAAAGTTCTAAATATATATCTCTCTACATATTAACACATAATTTTATATACCACAAATTTAAACTTTAACTCAAAACCCGACCAGTTCTTCTTGACTCATACCAACAGTAAAATTTGTCCCAGATTCCAAAATAATCTGTTTCCGTCTTGTCCTTTAATTCCATAGTTAGCCTGACCATGTCCGCACATGATAAAAATTTTTGTAGAATCTCTTCTTCAGTAGGAATTTCTTTGTTTCTCCAATTTTGAGCATAGGTCAGTCTGGCGGCCGTAAAGATGTGTAGCATTAGATAGAGTGTTCCTTTATCATATTTTTGTATAGTAATACCAAGAAGGAAGAGTTCTGGTTTTAGTTCTACCTCTGTTGTTAATAT